AACTTTCTGAACTGCAGTTTAATCTTTTAAGAGGTCACCTACTTTGGCCCACAACCGAAACATGCCTGTGGTTTGGTTATCTTCAGAGAGGGAGTCTTCATTTTCCCTCACCATCACATCACAGCAACAGCTCCCTAGGGAATGTTCAGTTGCCGGTGGCAACTGGGTGACAGCTGTCCCGGTTTTAATTGGGGTTTTTATTGATTATCATGATGGGAAGTACCGTTAATAATGACATGAAACAAAGTTTATATTCATGGCCACTGAAGCAACACAAGATTTATGGATAGTACATTCAGGATGAAAAGGAAGGCATGAGAAAAAGATGAAAACCAAATCTGCACTTGGGGAGAAAGGCAGATGGGCAGATACTGGAAACAGCCTCTTTGGTGTGATAAAGCCTGGGGACCATACTATTGTGGAAAGAAAGCCAAATGCTGGTTGTCCTCTCCCTGGGTCTGGAAGCATTACTAGCTCCTCACAGAGAGAGTGGGGCTTTTGTCTCCTATGCAGTACCATTAGGGAAATGTAGTTAGAGAGCTCCAGAACAGAACCCGTCAGGGTGGGGTCTGCTGCCGGCCCGATTACCATGCACAGCAGTGCAGAGTTGACTGAGGGCTTCGCTCTCCTGCCCACGCTGCAACAGGGCCATATTCCCTAGAGCCTGCTCAGCATTTATGTGGTCCCAAGGCTGCTGCCATCCATTACCACCTTTCCTCCTGCATCTTACCCAGTGTCAGTGTTATAGCCCTATAAATTGAAGTAGGGGAAAAGTTTAAGCACATGGAGCTCAGCTTCCTGAGGCCTGAACATTTCGTTCAAATGTACAATGAGAGGAACATTGGAACACAGGCGCTGGCCCTCCGGGAAATGACTCCTCTCTGCAATGCCACCTTGTGCTCTCTAGCTAGATTTTCCCATCCAGCACATGTCAAGCCTTGTAATTATGTTATTTAGTACACTTTTTCTCTCCAGCTAGGTAGCTAGGTAGCAAGCCCTATTTGGGCATGAGTCACACCAGTAGTATTTACTGTTCCATCTATAGTGCCTGCAATGGTGTCACTTACAGAGACATTCAGCAAATGTTTGTTGAATGAACTCACAATGTAGAGGACCCTGCTCAGTGCCCCCTCCATTAATGTATTTAGGAGTTTTAGTGGCCAGTGCATTTTCTAGCTATATTCCCTGGGCATCTAACAGATACTTTGGTTCGCTTTACTGTCATGTTCCATGTAATCGCATCTCTCCTTCCTGATCTTTTTTTTTTTTTTTTTTTCCCCTCCCTTCTTTTCTCT